TTTGTCCAAAAGGGGTAGTGGGTTTTTCTCTTTTTTTTTTTTTTTCTTTTTTTTTTTTTTTTTTTTTTTTTTTTTTTTGCACAGGAAGAGAGCCAGACCTTTTCTTATTCTGAGGAGTCATTTGTTTTAGCTATTTTTATCTTTAGTACTGAGACAATCTGTTTTGGCACCAATTCAGCTGCTTGCTACAGTTAATAGACTAAAATAAACTTTACAGGCAGAGATATTTCCAAACAATATATTACATTTTGAAACAAGTCTGATCAACTGATGTCTTAAAAATCAGATCAGAAAACTACAGTCAGACTGCTGTAATTCAAAGCCACTAAATGCTTCTAAATGAAGCTATACACCTCCAAAGTACCAACTGTTTCACACTGAGCGCTCCTCATTTTAACCAGTTATTGCAAAAGTTAAATGGGACACTAAAACAAACAGACCATGCTGTTTCCATAAAAGTTACCACATTTAGCACTATTATATTTTACATCAAGTTCATGCTGCTTCTGCAATTGAGAGGGTAAGAAGCGGGTTGCACATGCTTATAACAGGCTGGACTCTGCAGAAGGAGTATATTTAGCTAGAAAACACTCAAACACGGTTATCAGGTGTCTGTGTACATGTGCGTGTATGTCTGGATGTGCATGCAGCTATGGGTATTTGCATGTCTGCTCTAGTTTGTCACCTGAGTTGTGTGCATGTGTCTGCATGTGTGCATGTGTGAGTGTGTGTGTGTCAGCTCAAGGCAAAAAGACCATTTTATAAGTGGTAGTGTCTGGAAACCAGAACCCCAAATTCACAGGTGGTTTATGGTCCAAATAGGGAGGAAAGTGCTCATTGTTTTCCGCAAGACAGCGGGAAGGCCGTTATTGTTGGGTTTAAATTTCCTTAGGTCAGCTTCAAGTGTTATCAGCAGCTATTTTAGTTTTTCCTTCCCAACAAATGAAACAAAAACAGTAAGGAAAATTATTTATATTTCATTGTTATAATAATCTACATGACACATCTGACAGGAAAGCGTGGAAGTCTTGTTGACAACACCCCCGTCTCAAAGTCAGAATTTCTTAGGTATCAAGATATGTGTCAAACTGAGGAAGCACAGAGCTGCCACTTCAAGAAAAACAGAACCATGTCATGTCATAAAGTATTGTACCAACGAAGCTTTGCACATCAGGCCTGTAAAGTGTTTTTTCTGCTTTTTCATGTGTAATTCAGCATTTGTGCTTCCTGACTCTGTGAATACCTTTTACTCAAAGGATTAAATCTGAATCAATTTCTGTCTGAAGTGGGATAATTTCTTCTTATATGTTGTTAATCTTCACAAATTTGTGCAACAAATTGAGGCAGCAGTTAACACAAACTGTGTATGGGTTGTGTTGTTAGGTCCAATGCCATATTACGGAAAGAAGAAAAGCAAAAAACCTTTAATGACCAATGAAACACACACCAATCAGATCGCTGGGTTAGATTTCTTATGTTTGATTGTTGCATAGCTTTGACAGGCTGACAC